AGACTCGTTCTGTTTTGGGGGGTTTTCGTGAGTGAAAAGCTCATTTGGCAAACGCGCTCATCCTCTTTCAACTGGGTTTATTTCTCAAACACCAGCAGGCACATTCTCTTAAATGGAGGCTTTTTCTTCGGGCTCTTCATCTTTCCTCCGTCCGGAGCGATTCTCTGCAGGGCTTTTCCACTGGTGTGTCTGAACACCGCCGGCTAATTTGTGTCACATGTTCTTTTTTTGGGGGGGGGGGGGGGGGGGGGGACCCCCCAAGGCCCACCCGGGTCCCAGAGAAGGGGAGGGGACAGAGTGTTTATTGCCGCGCTCCGGAGAGGTGCGGATCGAGTGTCGCTTGACAAAGGGCCTTTTTCCGGAGACGTGTGGCCTTTTGCCTCCACCGTCTTCTTTCTCACCGAAAAAACAACGTCACACACACACACACACACACACACACACACACACACACACACACACACACAGCTGCAGCTCCTGGAGCCTCGGAGAGACTTTGGCCTTCCTTCTCCTTGACTTTCCACCAAAAGTTTCCCGCCTCTCCGGGTTTCCTAAACAGTTGTAAGAAGAAAGAGGGAGGGAAGGAGGGAGGGAGGGAGGGAGGAGGGTCTCCTTCTCGTCTCCTGAATGAGGACAGATTCCTCCTCCTCGTCTCTGTTTTAATTTCCCAGCAGGGTTGTGCATCCATGGCTTTGTGTGTCTGCGCGGCCGAGGTGAAGGATGACGACGTTCACACTGCGGCGGCTCCGACCAATTTGTGTCGTTTTAATAGGATTTGCTTGGAAACATTTTAATTTCTGGACGTGTTCTGTGTATTCTTGGTTTACCAAATAATGCATCAGTTAATGAAGGTTCTTCTTGTGGTTTCCTCCAATAAACATCCATTAGAGTGTGTGGCTTAATGGAACAAGTGCAAGTGAGTGTGTGTACTTGTGTGTATGAGAAAATGCTCGTGGCTCTGATGGGCAGCTCTGCAGCCATTAATGAGTGTGTGTGTGTGTGTGTGTGAGTGTGTGTGTGTGTGTGTGTGTGTAGTACTTACGACCATTGTTGTGGTGTTGAGAGTGAGGACTGTTTTTCACAAAGGGTTCAGGATTGCTTTCAGGATTAGTTTTAGGAGACCAGTGATGGCTTCTTCGTGGCTTCATTGGGATTCACAAAACCAAAGAAACATCAAAATGATACAATGTGAAAACTGTTATTCTCTTAAATGCTTTGTGAATGTGTTTGCTGACAGCAAATTCCTTTCTACCCCGTCAACATTTCCTGTCGCTTTTGCTAAATCCTCTCAAAGCCACTTCCACATATATCTTCCTTCTTGCTTCTCTGTGGGGGGGGGTTAAATACTGCAGCAGTGACTTTGTGCACAAGAAACAATGTATTCAAAGCAACAATGTTTCTGTTGGCTCGACCCAAGCGCACGTTGGAAGCCGACCCCAGTGTCACAGTCCGGTCTGCCGGATTAGCAGACAGATATTAGGACACAAGCATTCCTCATTCGCATTCATTGTGGAAAAAGGCAACCTGTCAGATTCTCCACTATTTACTTGTTGGTTATTATGAAGGCAAATGTTACACAAAGGACAAAGACCTTTTGACAAATGTGTACACGACTCTCCCGTTTCTTGAGTCCGAGTTGGAGCGAATGGAGCCACAAGTTTATGAATCATCAGTGAGTAGATACGCAAATATTTGTGGAAACAGGAAATCGTGTGTGTGTGTGTGTGTGTGTGTGTGTGTGTGTGTGTGTGTGTGAGTGACACAGCCAGAGGGAGAAGATTATTCGGTCAGTACGGGGGGAGGTGACACGCGGGGGGGTGATGGACTGGTGTGTGTGATGGCAGGTGGCGTCGTAGTGTGTTTTCTGCACTGATGCACGGATGCAACACACACACACACACACACACACACACACACACACACACACAGATACGCACATTGAGCAGTCAAATTTCAGATGTGCCATCTGCAGTCTGAGCAGCAGAGCTCAGAACGACGGGTCCGGCTCAGCTTGAGAGGATGAAGCGACTGTTGTCTTCGAAGCTCTTTGACAGCTGATCAATGAATGACGATTCGTGCAGAACCCGAGGAACGTCAAAATGACATTCTGACCCCCCGGAACACGCTGACCTTTTGAAAGCTTTTCAGAAGCTAAGTGAGATGTCGCAGTAGCTCACTAACGACGCTATTTACTTATTTGATGTAATAAAAAGATTGTATCGTTAATTGTGTGATTGTGATGTAACGCAGCGCGTGCGCTAAAGAGTCAAAAAGCCTCCCGGTTCTGGTTATTAAGACAGAAACAACGGTTACAAAGGTCACCTTAAACTGCTGTTGCCACATTTCTGGATTGACGCTACTTATATACCCCTGAAATGGAAATACACACCCTCGGGGAGGGGGTGCAGCACATCACAGCACCGCCAGCATGTAAACAAGCCGTCGGGTCGGACCGGACCGGAGCGGGCTGAGGGCGTCTCCTTGAAGCTCAGCGAGGAAGGAATGCAGGGAAAAACTCCCCTCCTCCGTCTGCAGCGCATTTATTTCAGGAGCCGATCTTCCACGTTCCCGTGTTCTGACACTGCTCTGGTCCGTTAGCTTTGCACTTACCCACCCTGCTCAACACGTTTGGATTCATGAATCTCACCCTCGAAGTGGACGATTGTCCTGTTTTAAACAGCAGCGTGAGCCCGGTGTGTTGCGATTCCTTGAGATTTGAGTGAGTCGTTTTAAATGTGACGCCAGCTTCCGCCTCCGTAACCGCGGGAAACTGAACATCCTTCTGGTCCTCCCGTTCATCAGAGCTTCCCGAATCTGACAGCTTCGTGAATTCATCACTCTGCTGCGTATCACCCCGGGGCGTACGGACGTCTTTTTCTTTCAGATTTCCGTCTTAACCAAGAATCCTCCGGAAGCAGCTGTGACTTTGTACGTCTCCCGTTGACCTTTGCCGGCTCCTCCTGCTGCTGCTTGCTCGTTAGCTCTGACGTTCAGCCCCCCCCTGCACTCTGTGTTTCCAGTTTAACGGCATCAAGTGTTCCCCCGAAACATCTGCAGTCGGTGGTTGGGGGAGGGCGGGGGGGGGGCCCTCAGATGGAACGGCAATTGTTTCGCCCTTGAGCAAGGCATTGGCTGCGGACAGCTGCGCTGGGAGGGGGTGCAAGCCGGTGTGGTTAATGAGTGTTGAGAGGAGATGGAGAGGAGGCTGCAGGGGACTCCACCAGGGTGTGAAGACACAGGCCTCTCTTCATTTAGCGGGTCGGTCTCGGCCGACAGACACACACACACACACACACACACACACACACACACACACACACACACACACACACACTACACTCGCTCCCCTATGGCTCTTAAGATGAGACATGGGGGGGGGGTTCATGCTATAAATAAAAATGCCATCACCTAAACATCCCCGTCGGCTCTGAGACCTCGCTGTGGGAACGCCAAAGCTCATCTCTCACCACACGGAGAAGAAGGAGACCGAGCGGGAAAATCGCAGCCGGAGACGGGCAGATGAAACGGGAACAGATTATTTACACCTCCCGCTCAGAGAGAACCTCCATTTAAACATCAAACACAGCGTTTGTGCCCTGAGCTGTCGGATCTGCTGCTACGTTGCGAGTGGAAGGAGACTTGCCCCCCCCCCCAGAATGACGATTAGCCGCCCTCAACAGCAACCTTACTGGCGGGAATGCTGCTAAATATTCCTTTAGTGTTCTTTAAGTCTGTCTCTTTGGCCTTTTGTGGTGTGACGCCAACGCCATCCAAAGCGCTGCTTGTCACCTCTGTTTCCTGTCAGCGTCCAGCTTACAATTCTGCATCTTTGCCAAATGTCTGGCAGAGACAGATAGAAGACGTCCGCGAGACATTTCCAGGGAAGAAACTCGCGACGAGACTCTTTGAGGAGCTGAAGTCCCGCAGGACGCGACGTCTGAGCGCCGCGTTGTTTTTTTTAGATGTGTGTGTTTCTGTCGGGAAACATTCCACGCATTCTTACCTGAGAGCTTTTACTGCCGATCGGCAAGCCGCCCCGCTGCTCAAGTAGGATTTTGATACTTTGCCCCGGCTTACTTTGCAATACGCTCTCTGTTCTCCTGTTAGGGAGGGTCAGAGGTCAACTTCGACACGTTGACCCCGAAGCTGGTATGGATTTGTCTCTCCGGGTCCGGGCTCTGCGTACTTCAACAGGCAGCGTTGTTTCCACAGCTGGCTGGAAGAGGAGGAGAGTTGTCATATCACATGATATATATGTTCTTCACGATATGATTTATTTGTGTGGTGCTGATAAAAGTCACAAAGTGCTTTCATAGCGTCTGGCAAAGAAACTGTCCAAACAGAGAGAATGTCAGACGTGAGTAACGTGGTGTCAAAATGCCAACAAAACATTTCAAAACCGCAATCCGACGACTTCTTCTAGACAGGAGACGTTCCAGGCGTCACAAACTTCCTCCACCGGGACGGTCGAGTGTCCGTGAGAGACGTCCAAACATGTCTGATACATGTGTGACCCGCCGCGTCCGAACACGTCCTGCAGCGTGAGGGGGAAACAGACGGCTCAGAAGATAAGAAAGTCGCATTCTGTCGCAAGTGTGTGAGACACATCGGCCCCGACGTTTAGTGTCCGACAACGTCAGCCTTCGTGCTTCTTCGCGTGGCGTTTTACAGTCACGTGACTCGGTTCTAATGTTGTCAACATGACGTGAAGTCATCTGCAAAGAGCAGGAAAGATGTTCTGTTGGGGAATGTCCTTAAAATGTGCTTTTTAGTGCCTTATGTCGTCTGGTTGGATGCATCATCATGGTGCTGTTGGCTGGATGGTTTTCGTTGTGGTTGTTTGGACGCACTTTCCTTTTGTTTAGGTGGATAAAACACAAATTGCTATTTTTCAGTATTTTTCAAGTGCATTTTGCTGAAATATAGCCTCAAACTTTCATCAAACCTCAAAGATGGGCAATGAAATAGACACCTAAACGTGTGTCTCCTCTCTCCTCCAGGTACGACTACGTGGAGGTGTACAACGGCGGGGACGAGCTCTCGTCCATGTTGGGGAAGTTCTGCGGGAAGATCGCTCCGTCGCCGATCATCTCCAGCGGCAGCGAGTTGCTCATCAAGTTCTTCTCCGACTACGAGACGCACGGGGCCGGATTCTCCGTTCGCTACGAAGTCTTCAAGACAGGTGCGCTGTCGCTCTGCTGGACAGGATGAATCTCCTCGTGCGGAGCAGAACCATTTAAAATCAATTTAGGTTTCTGCAGCTTTTTGGATCGAGTGGTTGACCGATTATAGTCGTAAAGAGTGAAGGAGCCTTCTGGTCTAAACCAAACCAAGTAGTCTTCTGGTCTTAACCTAACTAAGTAGCCTTCTGGTCCAAACCTAACCAAGTAGTCTTCTGGTCTTAACCTAACTAAGTAGCCTTCTGGTCTAAACCAAACCAAGGAGTCTTCTGGTCTGAACCTAACCAAGGAGTCTTCTGGTCTAAACCTAACCTAGTAGTCTTCTGGTCTAAACCAAACCTAGGAGTCTTCTGGTCTTAACCTAACTAAGTAGCCTTCTGGTCCAAACCTAACCAAGTTGTCTTCTGGTCTTAACCTAACTAAGTAGTCTTCTGGTCTAAACCAAACCTAGGAGTCTTCTGGTCTTAACCTAACTAAGTAGCCTTCTGGTCTAAACCAAACCAAGGAGTCTTCTGGTCTGAACCTAACCAAGGAGTCTTCTGGTCTGAACCTAACCAAGGAGTCTTCTGGTCTAAACCTAACCAAGTAGTCTTCTGGTCTAAACCTAACCAAGGAGTCTTCTGGTCTAAACCTAACCAAGTAGTCTTCTGGTCTAAACCTAACCAAGGAGTCTTCTGGTCTAAACCTAACCAAGGAGTATTTTGGTCTAAACCTAACTAAGGAGTCTTCTGGTCTAAACTTAACCAAGTAGTCTTCTGGTCTAAACCTAACCAAGGAGTCTTCTGGTCTAAACCTAACCAAGGAGTCTTCTGGTCTAAACCTAACTAAGGAGTCTTCTGGTCTAAACTTAACCAAGTAGTCTTCTGGTCTAAACTTAACCAAGTAGTCTTCTGGTCTAAATATTACCAAGGAGTCTTGTGGTTTAAAGTTACCCAAGTTTAAACCACAAGTTTCCTGTGGAGACCTTTTTTGCGGAACTTTTGTAGAAAATAAAAACTGAGTTTTATAATTTTATAAATACATATTATTATATTTATTATATTTCATTAATTAGGTAATTCTAACGAGGGTTGCAAACATGTACAAGAAAGCTGCATGTCAAGACACGCGTTAGTCCTTTTTTAGGCTAAATACTCTGGAATTGATTCTTCACATCACATGAATTTAGCGTGTGTTCCCTCCGAGCTCAAACATCCAAACATAACCTCTCAGAGAAGAAAGTCCAAGGTTGTACAAACAGCCAGAGCTCAACCTCTGGTACACTCACCCCTTGATCCTGAGAGGTACATGAACTCAAAGACCCAGAATGCCGTTGGAGGACCAGCGCTTCGGAAGCACGGAACCTACCACCGGCCTGTCGGGGAAGGAAACCTTGCTCCTGTGTCCTACATTTGTATCTGCTCCTCTCTCCTGGGTCCACTCGAGTGTCTGCCCAACGGCGGGTCTCCCGTCACCACTTCAGCTTCCACCGACGGCGGCGGAAGATTAATCTAATTTTAAAACAAAACAAAAACCAAGGGGGACGTGCGATTACGTGAGATCCCTCTTCTCCTTTTTTTTGTTGTTGTTTGCAGCCCTGAGGGCAATAACCATTCACAGAATCACAGGATCCAGGAATAACTATTCCCAGGAGGGCTCGTGTTGGAAGTATAAACGGAGAGGAGGCAGTAATATGAGTATTGCCAGAAGCTCCTCCAGGTTCTGCTCTAACGTCTGTTCCCTCTTCACTACAAAGCGTGGCCCCACTTCTGGTTCACCTTTTTAAAAACGCTAGTATCGACTTTAATTCCAGGGTGCAAAGTGGAGTCGAATGACAGGATGTTATTAGAGAGTGTAATAAATCTTTAAAAGTAGGTCAGCGGAGTATCGGCTTAGAAGAATCGCTGGTCCTGAACATTTTCCAGGTGGAATTTTTCTTTCTTCTTTCTTTTTAAATGTAGCCTGCACAAAGATGTGTGATGATTTATAGTTGAGCTCCAGTCGCTGATATAATAATCAGATTGGGGTCTGTACAGCAGTCGGGGTCAATGTGACATTTACCTGAAAAGAAAGTTAAATCACAAGAAAGAAATCCAATTTTATATTTTCTTCCTATGAAATAGAGCTATTATGGTGGCGAAAGTTTTAAGAGCTTACTAAAAAAGGGAAGAACCATCATTTTTGGAATGAAAGTAGAATTCAAAGGGTCGGTTCCTCTCGCAACATACAGCCATACATCATAAAGACAAGGATGAATAAAAACCCAAATTATATATAAAGTAAAGAGTCAAGTTAGAACTGTGATCCATATAATTTGAGTGACCAAACCCTTTAAGCAACCCGCTCTTGGTCCTTTTGAAATTCTTTAAATGCTGAATCGTTTAAGGGTTAAAGGCCTCCTCTCTTCCACGATGATTTAAGGAGAGATGAGGAAGCGTCGAGGCTCCTTCTCTTAGCATTACCTCCTGGGTCATCTCAGTCGGGGAAGAAGCATAACCACAGAAGGATCCATAGTCGGACTTCAAGGTCCATTCAGTGGCCGTTCTGAAGCCGTAGATCACATTTATATTAGAGCGTTCTCCAGCGGTACAACGTTGCCGTGTGAATGTGTGTTTGTGTGTGTGTCCTCATGGCACAACGCCGTCCTGAATGTTGGCACGGCGACTCAACCGCGGGAGATGCAGTCGGGATCCTTTACAGATGTTTGGAGTTTTCTGAGGATGGGAGCGGTGCGAGCAGAAGAGCTCTTACTGAACAGTTATGCCTTGTGTTGCTCTCTGCATATCTGCCTGTTGTTTCGCAATTCAGTGCGTTTATCTACTTTATGCATGTGTGCGTGCGTGTGTGTGTGTGTGTGTGCGTGCGTGTGCAAAAGACAGGTGCACGGGACCCGAGGCTCATTTAGCTAATGGGCTGTTTGTCCTTGGAGGCAACAGGGTGACCCGTAGATGAGATGGATGCTCTGGCACAGAAGAGGGGGTTTGAAACTAGGACAGCACACAAGTGTGTGTGCGTGCGTGTGCGTGTGTGTGTGTGTGTGTGTGTGTGTTGGCCTCAATATGGGTCCTCTCTCCTCTAACAAGTTAAAAACAGCGCTGGTGCTCACTCAGGTAATCCCCCTGCCATGTGGCTGCCTCCTTTCTCACCACATTTAAAATCTATTAAAGTCAAAGCTGCATGTTGAAAGAAGCTGCTAAATGGAGTCTTGTTACAAACAAACCTCCCTCTCTCTCTCTCTCTCTCTCTCTCTCTCTCCCTCTCTCTCTCTCAAATCACATTCTGCTGCAGTCAAACAACTTAGAGAAGAAATGAAGAAGCACCAACTGGTTTTAGTTGACTAAACCAAACGGAATCTTAACCATAGACATTAAATAGGTGATAATGTTCAGTTGTTTTTGGGTGGTGTTTGTTGACACGTTTCTCTCCATCTCTTGGTGTCTTTCTGTGGCATCACTCATCTTTGGCTCTTTAGCTCCTCGTCTGTCATTATGGGTTTTTTATTTTTTATTTTTTAAACACCACAAGAGGCCGTAACCCTCGCGCAGCCGACTGGCTCCGTCTGGCATTGGAGATCGCGCTCGGCAGTTGAGGGTAGATGGATGGATGGATGGATGGATGGATGGATGGATGAATGGGTGGATGGATTAAAAAGCTCTCTCCGCCCCTCATAACCAGAACTCCACCCTCCGCAGACCACGGAGCTCATATCACTCACGGGCGACGGCTGAGCGAGCACATCTTCAGCCACCTGGAACGAGCTTCGCATCAACCCTCTCGTTTTATCGACACACATGTAGCTTAGCATTCTGCTAACCCTAGCGAGAAGCGCATTACAGCAAGAAAAGGGTTTTCACTTTTTTAATTTTTCTATATGAACTTCAAGTACGTTTTTGCCCTTAAATCTCATTTATTTTTGACCTTGATGGACGTTCAGCAGCCTCGATATCTCTCAGCCCATCTGCACCTTCCACACACACACACACACACACACACACACACACACACACACTGTGGTGTGCCAGCTGAGCTCTCCTCCACATCATTCATCATGTCGCCCTTTTAACGACACCACCTGCGTCCACAGCAGGGGGTCCACTGGAGTGTGTGCGCCCGAATGAGGATTCATGTTTACGTTCGTGCTCGGATAACACGCAGGTCACATCTGGCCTGGCGACATAAGAACCCCCCCCCCTGAAACACACACACAGACACACGGTGTCTCCGAGGGATGCTTGACCCTCGTCCACGCCTCGTGTCGTCTTTCACCACAGGGATCGAACCCGCCCGGTCCCCCCTTCCCACCCGTCTCCTGACCTCATGTCACTCTGCGACAGGAGAGTAGCGAACCGCCGGTCGACTGATGCGACCCGACGCGGAGATTCCTCCTCTCCTCTTCGCCTTCATCGCCGCGGTGACGGGTTGTCAGCGCCGAGACAAACAGCTTGTGTACAAAAGGCCGACGCCCCCGCGCGACAGCTGCCGCTCCGCTTGCACTTTGATTGGGGGGGGGCGGCGGCCTCGGTGTCGCGGATTAGCGCGGCTTTAGTCTTGGGGCCCGGAGGAGCACGTGATGCTCTGCAGTTAAAAGTGAAAGACATTTGTAAATTGCAACTACGGCCTTTGTACTTGTGAGCTCCATGGCAACATGGAACTGTCCTCCCGCCGTACGTTGATGTCGTATGCGCGGAAATAAATAGAGCAAATATCTGCTGAATATCTCGTACCTCGTGAAGTGAACACGGCGCCTTTGCAGGAAAGAGATCCGAAAGCCGAGAGAGCGCACAACAATGTAACATAAAAAAAGAGGGACGTGTAAACACGACGCAGCTGACGATTTTATCTCCAGAAGGTGTTACGTGCAAAATGCATGAATAAAAGTGTGAGGAACAACAGCAGAGGCCATGTTGAGGGGGTTTCTTTTGTAGATAAGCAAGTGAAACGCTGTTTAAATAGCAGTTTTCAGAAGAAGCCGGGCGGCACGGGGATTGATGGCGTTACACACTGGATTATAAAGATCGAGAAGATATGATATAATAAGATTAGGTACTAGAGCGAGAGTACATCGTAGCTGTAAAACCGAGTGGTGTTGACTCATGTATGATATTATGTCATTAGCACAGCCTGTTAGTCTGCTGATGAGAATCACAACACAGAGTAAAGTCTGATTCATGGTTCAAAGACGGGCGGCATGAGACAAAGTGTCTTCAGCGCCACAAACACCTCAGTCCGCCAGCGCGTCACGACACTTAACCAAGCGCCATCTCCTCTTCTCCCCGGCAGGTCCGGAATGTTCCCGGAACTTCACGGCTCCCAGGGGCGTCGTCAAGACGCCGGGCTTCCCCGAGAAGTACCCCAACAACCTGGACTGCACCTTCATGATCTTCGCCCCCAAGATGTACGAGATCGTGGTGGAGTTCGACAGCTTCGACATGGAGCCGGACACCACGCCGCCACCGGGCGCCCTCTGCCGATACGACTGGCTGGAGATCTGGGACGGCTTCCCCGCAGGTGAGGAAGGAGGGAAGGAGGGAAGGAGGGAAGGAGAAGGGAGAGTTTAGAGGAGAAGAATGGAGCTGTAGAGCTGAAACGTGGCCTAAAGTCTAAAAGGGAGATGAGGAGGAAGCCGGCACCAAAATTGTTTCTTTAAGATGCTTGTTGACGGTGAAAAAGAAACATTACAAATTTGGGTTTTTGGGAAACTAGACATTAAATTCATAAGCATTTTATGAACTATCAACACTTTTTCCTTAAACTTCAGGAAGGAAATTTCCACTGGCTGACAAAAAGCTAAAATAAAACCAGGTCAAAATGAGCTATAAGAGAATATAACGGGGTATTTTTGCCCGCTTGCCGTTCTGAAGCGTCTCACCAACTTTTGTCTCCTAATGGCTCAAGAACATAAGATAATACGATTGGATGCGATCAAACGTAGAAATGTCAGACGGGAAGAAAAGAAGGCGAAGACGAGCGAATCGAAGGAGAAGCAGCTTCTCGGCGGCTGAAGGGCGAGGAGACGGATAATGGGATGCAGATGCCGGCGGTATGCGGAGCGGCATCAGAGAGAGAAGGATGAGAGGCGGAGGAGGACGGCTTCCCGCCGCAGATGTAGACGGGAGACATGCAGAGACGTGCGGAGGTGATGGGGAGGAGGAGGGAGGAGAACAAAAGACGGATGGCTTCCTGGCAGGTGGGACGAGGCCGGCGGAGGAGAGACATGGACACAGACGAGAGGAAGATGTGGGCTGAAGTGTGAGGGGGGGGAATGTGCTTCCACTTGCTTTATTCCGGGGACTCGTTTGGCGCAAAAACAACCCGGAATCATCCACGCTTTTAAAATGTCATGTCAAGAGGTTTTCTCAAAGTTTAAAAGGTTTTGTTTTTCAAAATAAAATCTGAGCTGAGCAGGTCAGCGAGTCAGTGTCGTTACAGGAAATAAACTGTGGATCAACGCCGCCTTGTTGCGACAGTTTGGGCTCCTGGCGACTGGAGATGTGACAACAAAGATCTGTGTCGGGACGCAGGGACGGTTTGTGCAAAAAGACAAAGTGTTTGTCTAAAAGCCTGCAGCTTTAAACTAGCGGTGGACAACGTTCATCAACAGTTACATCAAAGGGTGCACTGACAGAGAGCCGCTCGCAGCTCGCTCATTGTTCCCTCACACCACGTTTTGGAAAGAAAAAGGTCTTTTTGCAGCATCCTGCCCCCCCCCCCCCCCTCTCGTTTCCTCGGGGGCCGCCGTTGTTGTCTAATTAGCCGTACAGCGTGCAGATGATGGCGAGAGCCGAATGCCTCGGACGGCCACAATACTCGCCAGTGTTCCCCCGAAGCGTCCGCGCGTTACTGCCAGGGAGGAGACAGGCGGGGACACGAAGACTGGCACAGGTAGACACAGTGGCATCCACTTTAAAGCCGTGCCAGCATACATAACATGCCAACCCCCCCTCGAACGAGCTGTGTGTGTTCGTGCATTCAGGTGTCTGTTTGCATCGTGTGTGTGTGTGTTTGCTCGGTGAGCGTGTGTGTGTGTGTGTGTGTGTGTGTGTGTGTGTGTGTTTGCTCGGTGAGCGTGTGTGTCGGTGCAGATAACAAAGCAGGGTGAAGACCAGGATGTATTTTTCATCCCATCAAAGGCGTTCGCAGTGTTTTACACCAACACCAACATTCCCAGCATGCACTGCTGCCGTTGTTTTGCTTCTTCTTTGAGAGTCGTATATTCTGCTCTTCAAAAGGATTTGGGTTTTTCTTTTGTGGGCTTTAATCAGACAAACAAACATCTGAGCCTCAGTGTTTTTTTTATTTCTTCAAAAAATAATTTAATGACTATTTTTTTTTCAGGTAAAAGGAGACGCGGCCATATTGCTCGTAGGCTTTTTACATTTTTGGAATAATAGTTTCAGGGCTCAACAACTGTGGAAATGTTTTTTATTGTGCAACTGGCGGATTTTCTTTTTCTTTTTTACCAATCCACAATTTACGAGCCAATTATCTTTCTGAAAGGGGAAATAGAGACAGACGATTTAATTGGTAAACTCACAATTAATGGCGGTATACTAAATACTAGCTTAGGTCATTGCAGGCGGGTGCGCTGTGCATTCATGGGATATTTATCTACTAGCAAGTGTACCATGTAACAAATACCCATCAAATGAACATTCTTTTTGGTTTGAAAGTAAACATCTCCACTATAATTAGTCCTTAATTACACGGTCCGTTGAAGAGCCTGCGGATGAAGCAAAACCTTTTTCTTTTTTTTTTTGAGGATTGTAGATGGGAAACCAACCAGCTTTAAAAACACGGCATTATCGAGACATCTATTCGACGTAATCACATTTCTTCTGGATGAGAGCAGAAAGGGACGGAGAGCATAACAAAAGCCCGTCTGCAGGTGACGAGTGATGAAGCTGACGTTCTCCCTGTTTTCTCCTCTTTCCATCACCATCTCCTCCCTCATTTCCCACCTCCTTTCCACTTAAATCCCCCCCCCCCCCCTTCTCCTCCCTCCCTCCCTGCAGTGGGTCCCCACATCGGCCGGTACTGTGGGCCGACGTCTCCGGGCCGCGTGGTCTCCTACACCGGCATCCTGTCCATGACCATCACCACCGACAACGCCATCGCCAAAGAGGGCTTCTCCGCCAACTACACCATCCGGGAGAGGAGCCTCCCGGGGCACGAAGACGAGGGTGAGCAGCTGGTGTAGTGAGGAAGGGGGGGTCATCTTCTGGTTGTTCCTGTGTCTTCTTTTTTCTTTTTTACAGCAACCTTTAGCTTCAGCTACCGGTCCGCATGTGACCTTTGACCTCTGGCCTCCATGTTAGAGGCCAAGCAATTAATTACAGCGATTAATTACCGTCAGCCAGCATGTGTGCTGGCGAGGGGAGGTTCGGGTTTCTGCCGGTCCGATGCGTGTCAGAGGATCAGAAAGAAGTGAATCAATGGTGTTGATCAAGTACGTCATGCACGACATGATGGTGACACGAGAAAAAGCCTTCTGGGGATCTGAATCCGGGATCTCAAGTTAACCGGACACAAAGTTTAATCTGGTTCAAAGGCAGCACTCGGCGTGCCCGCCTCCGTTCGTTGACCCACTTTTGCTCCTCGCGTTGATCAAGTTGATCAACGAACGAGGACGATTCATCTGACCACCGGGATTAGGACTCTCGTGTCGGCTACTTTGGTGCGGTGGCATCTGCGGGTTAAAAAGAGCCCTTTTCGCCCCCCCGGGTGGGAGGGGGGGGGGTTTCGGTTATGTCGGGCCCGCTCCGTTGCTGCTCTCTTGTAACCCCGACCTCTGACCCCTGTGTTGAGGAATGTGAGCGTGAGTGGAGAGGTGAGTTTACCTAAGGTCCCACTGTGAATGAAAACGGCTCTTTGGGGAGAAATGAACGTAAAATTCCACATTTTACTGCTCTAAATTGATAGTTAACGACCTAAACTTGGACACAGCCTCGAGTGAAGCTGTTTTAATTATTATTTTTCCTCACGTGAAATCCAAAACGTCTCATATGGAGGTGGGAATAAATGTTCGATGTACACGGGCCTCGCTGACTTTATGAAGCTGTTTACCTTTGATTCTAAAGAATGTAGACATTTGATACCACGTGATTCGATAACAACATGGATAATGTGACTGACATTTCCCCACAGGGTTCAGAGTAATTATCGTAACTGGTTTCTGTCGGGGTGTATGCATCGCGTGTGTGTGCGATATCTGCTGCTGATGCTGAGCGTTAATGACAAATAACATGGATGTAGTCTATATTTATCTAATGTGTTTGCGCCGTGTGTGTGTGTGTGTGTGTGTGTGTGTGTGTGTGTGTGTCTGGGAAGAATCTGCCCCTCTGGTCTAAACTCCAGCAGCACGGCAGTTAAACAAAGCTCTAGTTGTCTCAGCTAAAGCAGCGTGCGCACACACACACGCACACACTCAATTACTTTGCCTGCAGAGATCGGCATATTGAATTAAAGCTTCTCGCCACACGGAAATCGAGTTGTCCTTTCAACCGAGCTGCTGTGCTCGTGGACTTTCCCCATTTCCACACGTTGAGTCAGCAGCAGAAAAAGCTCAGCTTGGAAAAAAAAAAAAAAGTAATGGATAAGTTTGCCTTAAAGTCTCGGCTGAATGTCCAGATTTGACGGACACTTTGTGTCTTTGCTTCTTTTTGGTACATCAAGCGCGTCTCCCTACACATGCGAAATGTACCAAAAAGAGGCAAAAGACATTTTGAATTCACATTGCGATTACTCCATGAATTGTTCTCAAAACCTCTGGGACAAAAGAAACAGCTGTGTTTGTGTCCAGCATTAGCGATGTTGCTAACCCTAGCTATGCTAAGCCAGCTCTTCCACCAGAGGCCAGCACCAAATATCTTGAAGGACCAAATCTGCTGGTGTCGTATTAATTTGCCCCCCCCCAGGTTTCCGAGTGAGATTACAACAATCTGTTATTAAATATGAAGTTCTTTCTCCGCTGAATTAGCGCCTTAGCGATCCGGCATGTTACGCCCTCTCTTTCCTTTCGGGTGGAGATGAGGAGGGCGACACGCGGGTCGTCTCATGAGTGGAAATGAGAAGTTTTTGGTTGGAAGTCTGAGGCGAGCAGGAAAGTTTCCAGCAGCTTCAGAGGAGGAGAGCTGGAGAGCCGAATCACGTGATTTTGGGCCTGATGTTTTTCTCCAGATGACAAATATAGATGACGAGCGTCTCCTTAAGTGATGTTGCAAGAAAACCTTCTTCCTTGGTGTATTTGTGGAATGATGTCATCGTGTTTGTGTGTGTCTGGTAGACCTCGTGTCTCCAGACATGCCTCCCACACACACACACACACAAATACTCACATTTCCTTTTGTGCCTCTTCCTCACCCCCCTTCTTCCTCACCCGGGCCCCCTGCTGCTACCCGGTGGGACGCAGAGACGCTGATTTTTGAAGCAGTCCGGTCCGCCCAAAGGAGGCCCGCGTCATCCTTTTGGTTTGAGAGTGAAGAAATCCAAACGGCCTAAAGCCTAAAGAGAGCCGAGATCCACATGTGTGCGTTTGTGTGGGTCTGTGTGCACTGCATGTGTGTGCGCAAATACACACAATTATTCTTTAATTCACAGGAAATCAATTCACAACAATTGCGATGATTGAATAATCCTTCGGAGTAAAAGCAAAACACACTTCTCTGCTTCTCCTCCGCGCCCCCCGAAGCGGCTCAATTGATTCGAAACCGTTCAATTAGCAAAACAAAATGACAAAACTGGATGATCTCGTTCTGTGTCTTTGCAGACTTTGCGTGCATGGAGCCACTGGGAATGGAGTCGGGGGAGATTTCCTCGGAGCGGATCAGCGCCTCGTCCCAGTACAACTCCAACTGGTCCCCCGAGCGCTCGCGTCTCAACTACCAGGAGAACGGCTGGACGCCCTCGGACGACACCGTCAGGGAGTGGATTCAGGTCGGTGGCGTTTGCGCTTCCTCCTCTTCTTCCTACGCGGAGGATTTAGGCGGAGTTCTCATTGTGGAGTCTGAGCTCAAAGTCGGCGTCTCCTCGGTTTGAACTCCAGCGCACCGCTGAGATCCGAGCTCACATCTGGTCTGAATATTGTTCACTCATTCGAGATGCGTCAGGAGGGGGGACGGGGGGGGGGGGGGCTAAAATAAGCCGCTGTGCATTATTTATTCAAAGCAGAGTCGACATCTCTTGTCTAAATCTTTGAGGCTGGAAACAGAGCAGACCGGAGTTTTACTGCTTTTATTGTATTTTACTGTCTTCATACTTCCTGGTTCTTGATTCGGTGAATTACGCACATAAAGATCTTGTCCAATATCTCCAAAGTGCTGCACATCCTCGTTCAGAAAGTGCAGCTGTTGGATGAAATGCAACTATGCAGAGAAGCCTAAAATGTGAGCCTCTTTTTTTTTGTGGTTACATCGTGGTTAAACTTTGCATATGATGCCAAAAAGTCATCTTATGTTTGACACTGGTGACTCAAAAAAGTCATATGGCACAAATTAAGATTTTTTTTGTTTCAGTCCAACTATAAAATCTACAGGAAACAGAATCTAAATGTTTGGATTCTTCTTAAATTTACACTCCTGGCTCTCCGGTTCATGATTTACCTTTGGTGCGCAGCAAGCATGTGCATTTTCCTAACACGGTAAACTAACCCCCGGGGGAGTCGGATGGACCTGTGCGGTCCGGCCGGAGTCCAGGACTGTCCCATTGTCCAGGACAGGAACTCATAGAGGAAGACTCACAATGGCCCCCCGCAGTAAGAACACAGCCTCGCTTCCTTCCTGCGGGGGCTGAAGCAGGAAGCAGACAGGAAGACGGCATCGCCGCTCCATCATTAGTAGTAGCTCTGTATTGTCTGTCTGGGGACTTCTTTTAGCTACCGAGCCCTCTGGGACGCCGTGATACGAAGGCTCTGGACAAAGGTCGGTGGGTTTACGCGTGGAGACAACCTTTGATTTTGATTTGCCCCGGAATGTTTCAAAGGACACGATAATAAGAGTGGGTTTGATGTTTTTTTAAAAAGCTTCACTGGCCCCGTCAAGCGTTGTTGAAAGCACAAGTAAAGTGACCACGCGTTTCACCCCCATGCATTCTAAAAAGAAGGCGATGCAGATGTGAAACACCTGGATGGGTTTGCTGGGCTTGGACGTGCCTCCGACCAGCTCCCAGTGCCCCCCCCCCCCCCCCCCCCCCCCGTACAGCAGATACAACGCCCCTCCTTCAGATCTTAGTGTTTGTGTTCTTCTGTTGTCGTCCCCCCCCTCCCGCCACGGTGATTTGTAGCCTCAGAACCGGTTCTGCCCCCCCCCTCCCTTTTCCTTCTGTGAGCCATCTGAGTTATGACTGCTGTTTTTTCTGTATAAAATGTTCCATTTCATTTGATTAAGTGTGGTGCGGCGCCAGCGCGGCACGGCGGGGTTCGCCTTACAGCTTTCCATTCTTCTCGCTGAGAAGAAATTACGACTTTGTTAATTCTCGCATGCCCTCCGCTTCCACTGCAAACAACTCTATTATTCATTCAAAGGCATTTATATTTTATTGATACTATTTTAGGGCTGCTACTCGTAATGTTTTTTGATGCTTCCCGCTGGCAGCTCCGGATGGCAGTGAGATCATTATTTAGCTTCTAACTTCTAAATATCTGTGATCACGTTACGCGCTGCAGTGACTCGTTTCTGGCACGCTGGGTGTCCGCAATAAAACGGAAAGCCTCCATATCAGCAAACGACATTTGCAGGATTGCGGGTGAATTAACTGTGGGGCTCAGCTGTTTGTCTATTGCTTCTATTTTTAAAGGCTGAATAACTGAATAATGTGAAGGAATGTGCTGGACCAGCTGGTATCGTACGCTCCATCTATCTGTCAGAAGAAGAAAGGCTACAATGTTACGTGCGTACAAACAAAATATTCAAAGTAGAAGGTTGGACAAAGCAAAGTGAACATGGAAATATGTCGTTTACTAAAGCTATCCTCCAGAACTTTAGTTTTGTGGTGATGTTGGCGGCCCGTGAGGACCAAAGCGCCACCAGCGTCCCTTTTACCAAACGTCTCACTTGACCTTCAGGCGCAGTTCAAAGTTCCAACATTAACATTGGGAGAGTGAATCTTACACGAGTGAAAATCACTAAAAAACGCTCGTAACGTCGTTTGAAGCGCCGTGACTCCCAAACGGCCCGTAGGTGCATCTTTACAAGGGAGGGGGGGGCGCTCGTGACGTGAAGCCCAGGAAGGGCTTCCTTCCCCTCCCGCCGCCAGGTATTTATAGACGCCGTTTGTCTCCAGGATCCGTCCGAGCTCAGCGGCGTGCATCTGGAGAACACATTTGGCCCTCGTGTGAGCGGGTTTGTTGTTGTAGCCGGAGAGGGGGACGGGGGGGGTTTGAAAGACAAAAGATCCCCCAGAGAGCGTTAAAGGGTCTAGTTATGCCCATCTGAACCTCTGGAGGAATGCCTCAGATGACTTCCGCACACGGGAAATGTCAATTACACAAATCAGAGCGACGGGGAGACGTTCGCGCGAAGGCCTTTGGCGAGCGCTCTTCGCCAATCATCAAATGAGAGTTCTTACGCAATGAGCGATAAGGACCAAACCCGGTGATGAAAGCAGAGCCGTGAAGCCCCAGAAGATGATCTAATTAGTCTGGTGTGCATTCCGGATTGGAACCTTGAGGCCGCGAAAAAGTATTTCAGAAATGAGAATAAAATGACTTCTTTTTCATCAACGCCAAGGAGTCATGTAGAAAGTTTCTAACGAGGCGTCTGAAAGTCGCACGGCAATCGCACGACAATGAAAAAGTGCCAAACGAAAACAATGCAAAGGGATTTTCCAGAAGGTTTCAGCTCTTTAATTAGTGTGTATTCAGGTTATCTAATACGTTTGTGGTATTTTTCTTTTGAGAAAGTGTCGAAGCAGAAAAAAGTAGTCAAAGTATTTCTGAAATCAGAAAACGTGTCTTTTACTTCCAGTTTTTTACGTGTGAAAGTCATTTAAAATGTTTTTTCATAGCGTTAAATAAATAATGAGGTCGACGTCTGATTCGTGAGGGGAATGTAAATGAGCTTTAAGCCCCGTGACAATATATACAGTAATATACTAAAAACACACAAAAAAACATGTTGTTTTCTTAGTATATTGAGCGTACGAAAGCGTACCGGAACATTTTAAAATGTTTAATTGGGGCTCTTGCTTTAACTATCACCAAAGGCCGAGTCCTGTTTTGGCAGGAAGCTGCGATTTTCCTTTTTCTTTTTGTTCAATCTCATTTGCCACACTTGACTGAATTATGCCCTCCCTGCAGCTTCCTGCAGCTTGTCTCCTTTGCCACTAATGTGGACACAGTGTTGAGTAATTACAAGATGGAAGAGCAATTTGCTTCATTTAAAAGCGGGAGTCTGCAGAACGCGGCGCTTCAGAAAACATGCAACAACTGGAACAACCTGGATTTCACTTCTATCACTTCCTGTTTGAACATCTTCACCCTGAAAACGTAGAACTCTCATTCTGTATTCTCATTGTTTCAGTAGACGTTCAGAGGGAAAGTTGCTTTTTAAGGGGAGAATTTTCATTTCTCATGAGAAATTTAATGAGTTTACGAGGGCTCATAATGTTTTAATCTAGAAAGCAGAAATGTGTGTCATCGATCAAACTCGACCCAGATGAATCCTACAGGTTCACACCGTGATTTAAAGCTCAAATGACTCGAGGCCACACAAATCTAGTAGCTTGTTTTCATCCTCTCCCAACAAAACTCTGCACAGTGTTTTCATAGACTCTGAGAGTCAGTGGGAGAAGTTAAATAACGGCCTCCGGGCTCTTTCCCCGTGTACAGTATCGCCGCGGCAGCATCTCGACGGTAATATAATTACACGCCATCCCACAAACTGGAGCCACGAGTATTTTTAGGTCGCAAACTGATGATTTACGAAACCCAACAAACAGTCGGAATGGAGTCAAATAGGTTTCCCCCTTGATTATTACGCAGTTATGAACTTATTTGATAACCTGCACATGGAGCTACATTAAATTCTTCAAGGGAGCCTTCTGATTCTCCGTTATCACCGGCTCTCCTTGATGATAACTATCTTTTCATTAATCTGTTTTACATTATCTGTAAGTGTATTTTTTTTTTCTGGACGCTTCTCCGCTGCAGTGAGATAAAAATACCTCGGCCATCCGAACAAGCCGCGTTTTATCTGTTATTTAGCCCTAAGATCATAATTTCACGAGGAAGCTTGGTGAATTATAGCCACGAGATGAGATGCTGTCACTGCAATTCCCCTTGCATTTACTTATCTGAGCTGCTGGGGGAACGAATGCTTAAACATAAGTTTCATTCAATTAGAAAAAGTTTCACTTTGCTGCTCCTTTCTTCAAATTCTTTCATCTGAAAAAAGGAAATAAGAGATTGAGAAAAAGGTTCTCTGGTTGTTTAAACTCAACCAGGCACAACATAGACTATTCTATAAGAAATGAGGAAATTGCCCTCTGCCATAAGAGAGATGTTGTCACATTGTTTGAGCAGAAAACAGTCGGTTACCAGCGAGGCTTCCTTCTACAACCAGATAAGTTACCAATACAGTCGTATTTAGGAGGCTAAATACTGCGCTTTGGATGATCTCCAAATGTGGAATACAGATGTGTGTTGGCTTCACCGATTTTGTTAACAGAATGAATACAGAATACAGAACTGAATTTCCAGATGTGTGGCACGGACACCTTAACGTTGGTTTGCTTTGGGTCCTTTGTGTGTTTCTTTCTGGTTGACCTGTGAACCTTTTGTCCATATTATGGAGCTAAATCATTTAACTCTGATGCTTTTCAACCCCAACCGTGGACATTTTGGAAAACCTATACTTGTGGTGTGTTCTTCTCAAAGTCGGGTGATCGCTCATCAGCACAAACATCTGGAATTGGCTTAGCACAAAAACCTGGAAACGGGACGAAACTGGCAGCCGCGGTCTGTCAGAAAGTAAAACAGTCGGTACCACAACTGTTTATTTTCTGGTTGCTGTGCATCATCTGCCTTTACTTCTTTCACTAAGCTAGCTACGCTAAGCTAAGCTAGCCATGTAGCTACTCCCTCCAAATCTTTAGTTGGTCTGAAACAACCTCTTTGCCTAAACACACAAACAGACGCACACAGCACAGGTCACGCACCAGTCAGCAGCGACGCGGGTGGACAAGCGTGAAAGCGGTGGCGGGCCGGTTCCCACGCGCTCGCAAACGCTCTCCTCGACACGCTCAGCGTCTCATCGACTCAAAGGGCTCCAATTAAACACGTGACCTTAATCACGTGACACGCTTCACGCCGCTTCTGGGTGTAGATGGTAAAATGTTGATAAGTGGCACAAAGGGAAGCTCCTCGGAGTCTCCCGTCGTTTACTCTTTTTTTTATCAGCGGAAAACAGACAAAAGAAGATGTATTTTAAAAGGTGTTCCACACCAGGTGGATGTTCTGAGAAGCGATGATTAAGCGCTCATCACACTCACGCTAACGCAAGTTTGGCGGAGGGGAACGGCGAAGGCGTAATGCTCCTTTAACGGTCGTCTTCTTCTGTGGTGGAGGGGCTGCCGGCTTTAATGGTTCCACCTTCTTCTTCTCACTTCTGAGCCTTTTGTTTAACTCTCATGTAATATTCAGTTTGTAACGTCAAAGAAGAACTCGATGCAGTTAGTTTTCTGTCTTTTAAAAAAAAAATTATCTAGAACAAATAGCATTTTACACTCAAGCAGTTTCACGATTAAATTGAGCTTCATAACTCGTTCATCTTCAGGCTTTCATTTCCTTTGTTAAGTGATTTTTCACAGTACTTGTTGGTGGTCATTTACTGCCGACTGGAGCCATTTATACGTAACTTTTAGCCTAAAACTATTTTTTAATTTCTTTTAGCCATATACTTTTTATCCATTGTTTTCTAACTACTCTTCCTGCAGTCTCATGTGGAACGCGTTGTGTTCAGGCCTTGCAGATGACGCAACAATGTAAAACAGATGACCTCAATTGCCTCAGTCTGAATCCGCCCATTGACCTGCATCTTGTGCCTTCGTGGTCTCCAGGTGGATTTGGGATTCCTCCGGTTCGTCACCGCCATCGGGACGCAGGGAGCCATCTCCAAAGAGACCAAGAAGCAGTACTACGTCCGCTCGTACAAAGTGGACCTGAGCTCCAACGGGGAGGACTGGGTCACGGTGAAGGAGGGCAACAAGCAGAAGGTAGCGACCATTGGGTCCGTAGTGAAATACACACTCCCTGTTTTGGGTGTAGTAGTACTCGTGCTATTGTTGCTTCAGCAGCAGTGGTAGAGTAAGTAGTAATCATTTTAGTCATTTAATAATGGTAGTAAAACCCGTAGTAGAAGTAAAAGTAGTATTGTTGAAGGAGTAGTAGGAGCTGTGGTCGTCATGGTGACCGTGTTGCCATCAAAGTAACAGGAGCAGTAACTGTAGTTCTTTTCGCCGCCGTCCTCAGATCTTCCAGGGAAACCTCAACCCGACGGAGGAGGTCCGCTCCCTTCTCCCCAAACCGACTCTGGCTCGCCACATCCGCGTCCGCCCCATGTCCTGGGAGCAAGGCATCTGCATGCGCTTTGAGGTCTACGGCTGCAGGACGTCAGGTACAGCGGGGCGGCAAACGCCTCCAGTACACAAACTCCCGCGTACTCGAACAATGCATTAAGTGCAAAGTATTTTTTTTTCTCTCCTTAATTCAACAATCAGGGAACTTTGGTTAAACATTTCATACAAACAGTCTTTTACAGACATGCATGCGTTCTTTGCACAAACACCAAATGTTTTTCCCGGGATGGAAAGAGCAAGTAATGTTCACACCTTCTGTAAAAACAAAATGAGCGACAGTTTAAAAGACTCCTTGACGGGTTTTTATCCGTTCCCTTCGGACCGCACTCCCTCCCGTAAAAAGCGTTTTTCTCACTTCTGAGCCTCGCGAATCAAACCAACATCTTTTTGGCTGCAGCGCGAGAAACTCCTGCTGCTCTCTGTTGATTTAAAATAAAGCGGCGAGCACAAACTCCCACAGAAGGACGCCGTTATTCATTGCCGAGGAGCGCAGGGACATCATTACTCATCCCCCTAATGTTACATAAAGCTCAGTCCTTGATGTGCTACGAGCAGCTCTCTGTGGGAGAGATACTAGACCCTAACTCACAGGAGAGCAGGCCGTAAAGTGCTAGACAGGTGATTCAGGAGATGTAACGACACAGTCGGGAAAGTGTGTGTGTGCGAGTGTGCGTGTAAGTACGCAACATGAAACTGTCATTCATTCCAAAATTCCTCTTTGACTTAATTTTAATCCAATTTCTGTGTTTAATCCTAAACCGATCTCTCTAATCCAAATCATGCAATTTAAAGAGGTAATAAAATACAGGAAGGAAAAGCTCGCAATTGCTCGTTTAATCCACTATTTCTATCCTCGGCGGGCGGGAGGAGAACTTTTATTAACATGAAGACAGCCACCCTTAAACGCTTCAGAAGATACAACATTGATCGGCTGTAAAATTCACATTGCGGAGGAGTTTAGGTCCCCGGGCCGTTAATCCGCTGATATAACTCGGGAAGCATTCGGCGAATCCAAATGTCTCCGTGAGACCGCGACTGTTTGAGTCCGGATATTAGATCTACCCCGTTAATTGGCTTAACTTTGCTCGCTATGTCCGGACCATTGTTTCCACATATTTTAAGAGTTTAATTAAGTTTTCTTATTCAGAGAAACCAGACAGCGCGGCTAAAACCTCTCAGTTATCCAGTAAATATCCAACTTTATTTCCTAATACTTGAACAGTATTAGGTTAACAGCCTGAAGGCCACTTGTGGCGTCCTTCCTTTAGCGCACATCTATTCAGTCGTACCCGTGCTCATAGTTTATACCGGTGTTACGGACCTTTGGTTTGAAACGCCTGTTTTGTGCCGTGAACGCTGACGGTCTTCAGCGCAGCTGGGAAGCCGTGATGGAGACCAAACAGTCACGTGACGTGAAGCTTCATGACTCCATGTTGAAAGTAGCTCCACCTCGAGATGTTGAGACGGGTCTTTTTCACTCCCGAGTTTAAACCCAGAGGGCGTCAGATAAAGCCGCTGACTAGAGGGACGAGATAAGGACGTTTTTTTATCATCCCCCCCCCCTCTCTCTCTCTCTGCAGACTACCCCTGCTCGGGGATGCTGGGGATGGTCTCCGGTCAGATCTCGGATGCTCAGATCGGCGCCTCGTCGTACGCCGACCGGGGCTGGGTGGCGGAAAACGCCCGCTTGCTGACGGGCAGGTCGGGCTGGACCGGCCAGCAGACCAAGCAGCCCTTCAGGAACGAGTGGCAGCAGGTGGGCCGTGACGCTGACCTTTGCAAGTTGGAAGGGGTGGCGTTCGATGGTCAGAACCGCTGACCCGGTTCAAGCCGTCTGCTCCTTGTTGTTTCCAAATGATATATTCAGAATATCCGGACAATCCTTTATCTCTTCATCTTCTCCTTCTCTCGGCAGGTGGATCTGGGCCAGGACAAGATGGTGAGCGGCGTGGTGATCCAGGGGGGGAAACACCGCGACAGGAACGTCTTCATGAAGAGGTTCAAGGTGGGACACAGCCTGGACGGAGACGAGTGGACCGTCGTCAAGGAGGACAACACCACCAAGCCCAAGGTTGGTCCGACATGTCTGACCCGACTGACTGAATTAACACGATTAACGGGATCCATTGCCCAAGATCCCTCCAATCCCAACAATCCAGATTAATTATTCACCACGTTTATGCTTCACTGGCGCCCGTGTTTCCCCTCAGGGGGGGGTGTTGGAGGTTGTTAGGATTGGAGAAAAGCAACCACTGCGGGCTGGAAGTGTCCATTCATCTGTGACATGTGTTCAAGTGGAAAGAAATGTGGAAAATAGAAATAAATAAAGGTGACGTGAAATTCATAAATCCATAATAATAAGAGGGTTTATTCAGCTACAAACTAAAAAAGTCACAATAACGTAATTACAGCACAATGTTTTTTTGCATAATTTAATTTTCTCTGGACTAAAAGTTGATGTTGATAAAAAAGTAAATGAGAAGAAGACTGCGGTGCAGCTCAGTTGGATCATTTCATTCACTTATTCGTCTATGAAAGCATCAGTGTCCACATGTCTCACTCACTGTCTCCTGACCTCTGAGCGCCGTCTGATCTCTGATCCCCGAGAGGAGGAGATGTGTGTCCTCGCTTCCTGAGGCCCCGCCTCCTCTCCTCCGTCCCGCCCCACGCGTGCGTTCCAGATGGCGGGGAGGAGGACGAGGTGGAGCGTCGGACTCCCGCTGACTCACCGCAGACGGAGATCTAGGCGCTCCTCCGTCCCCTCGCTAATCTTCTCAGCTCCTCAGGAGACGAGGCTGGAAGGCTCGGCGAGGCCGCGGACGCCACGCGAGTGGATACGAGTGTTTGGCTCGCGCGTGGGCGGCACAGCATATGCCGGTTTGTAAACATGAGTGGACAGCCTGGTGGTGGTCCTAGAAAGAGGAAACCGATAGCATGTTTAGAGAAAAACAGGCATGACCTTGAATCCAGGATCGCGCGTGTCCTAAATAACCACTCACGCTCCAAAATCGTCATGATGTTTATGACAATGACGCTCATGGATTAACAGAAACGAGAAAGCTGCGCGTGAACTACAGTTCTCCACCTCTCCGCCCGACGAGAAATCTATGAAGCGAATGGAACAATATATGTCGCAGAACAAACATGCACAAGACAGAACGGTACACTTGCAAACAAATCGCGAGCATTTAAACAGACCCGTGGACCCACAATGCCCCTCTGCAGTAGTAAAGCGTGAGGCGAAAAAGGAGACTTCAGCCCTTCAGACCGGGAGAAGAGCCTCTTGGGTGTTTGGTGTCCCACCTCCTGGCTCCCGGTGTGAAGGAAACCATTTTCATCTGTGCTGCTTCCATGTTGGACCAACAAAAAGTATCTGACTCTGGTTCTGATTTCCTGGCGTTTGTCTTTGTTCTTTGCTCCATTCATTTTCTTTCAGCTTTTTGTGTGTGTGTGTGTGACTGATACTTGATCAGAAGCAGACTTGATCAGAACAGAGTGTTGTTTGTTCAGTTGTTGGGTCAATGGGCTTTAAACTGTGCTGCACAGTGTCCACAGGTCTTCAATTTATCATTCACGTGTGGGGAGAAAACCACGAAGCAAAGCGGACACCCGGACGGCTGATCTCAACGTCAGAGTGTGATGCTTGTTCTGTCATCTGGTAAACACTGGTTAGGTCCTGACCCGACTCCCTGTCTTCTGCCTCAGGTATTCCTCGGGAACCAGAACCACGACACCCCAGAGCTGAGGACGTTGGGCCCCCTCCTGACCGGCTTCGTCAGGATCTACCCGGAGAGCGCCACCAACGAGGCCCTGGGCCTCCGTCGGGAGCTGCTGGGCTGCGAACTGGACGGTGGGTTCCAATGGAGGTCACCTTGAGGCAAACATGCGTCCAAGAGGTCACGGGTCAAAGACACAGACCACTGCAGGAACAGGACCTGTCAATCCCAAGGTGGCCCCGCCCTAAAGCATACCCTGCTTTATGGTGTATTTGTCTCTACATGGAACATAATCTACTAAATGAACTTCATGCAAATACGGCTTCAAACTAGAGACTGAGACTATAGACTAGTGTGGAAAATTTTTACTGAAAGTAACTGAATAAATCAGAAGGAGAAGTAGAGTTATTTCCCCATACACTTCTATGTGCCCCCCCCCCCCCCTGGTGGTCAGTAGAGAGAATGCAGCTTTAAGACGCTGCTTCTCTTGTCAGACCACAACGTCTCTTCCTGATGAATAAGTACACTGAAGCAAAAAAAAGAAAAGCCGGTACAAACTGGATCAAGTGAAGTGTGAAGAACGGAACTGCTGTTATCCCTTAAGGCAAGACGGCATCACATGGAGGCTTGATATTGAAGCAGGGCACTCCTGTGGTTTCTGGATCGTGCGGCTCTTTCAGCGGATATTTCCCAAAGTCAGCTGAATTACATTCGTTGAGTAAATATTGAGGTTTAGTTCGAGCATTTTCATCATCATAATAACAAATAGGGTTTGCACAGCGTTTTAAAAGGTACTTAAAGGCACTTTACACGGTCAAACTCAATCTGTATAAACAAAAGAAGAGACATAACATTGAGGAACCGGAAACGTATTCTGACGTAGATGACTTTGAGGCGTGTCATTTTTATAAAAGGTGTAGAAAAGGCAGCTTATGGTGCTAATGTTTGCTAATGCCAGTTGAGTTGATGCACGTTGACACACTTTTGTACAAAAGCCCATTCATGCTACAGAAAAGCTCCTACAGCTGTGCAATGATGCGCTGCTGCACAGACCAGTGTGCAATGTCCTTCAGGCTCAAGTAGCCATCGGGAAGAGAAACGTTCAACACGCAGAAGAGCATTTCTAGATGCACCAGCGTAAATGTTTGTGGCTTCGGGTCAGCAAACGGATCCGTTATTAAACAGTGAACCGCTTGCACCTCGGGCTGCTTGTCTGCAGGATGAGCGCATGACGCATGCCATGGCAGGCTACTATCTCCACTGCAGCAGTGGTCAAAACTGGATGCTGTGTTTTAGTGTGAGAGAGAGAGAGAGCTCGACCTCCTGCAGTAGGTGAGGGAGGAACAGATGAAGGGAGGAGGGAGTATCCGGTTGCTCTGCAGGAGGAACGATAAAGATCAGCCGGAGCGGAGGGAGGAGGAGGGTGGAAAGAGAGGGGAGAAGATGAGAAGAGAAATGGAGGCCCATCTCGGGAGGTCTGAAATTCTTCATAATTAACTTCTTATGAAGAACCCCTGTAAAAAAAAAACTAGATATCTAGATTGTGGGTGTCTCAGAAAAATCAGAACTTCCCTCTGTGTGTCTGCGTGTGTGTCTGCGTGTGTGTGTGTGTGTGTGTGCGTGTGTGCGAACAAGATAGAGCAGAGAGGAAAAGCCAGGGGACAGAAGTGTGTTTGAAGCGACCTGTCTTATTCAGAACCAGATGATCAGAGCTTCCCTTCAAAAGAAATGTGCGAAATGCAGAAATGCACGCGTGTACGCTGGAAAAGGCCACGCACAACGCAGATACACACAAGCCCACGCCCACAAACGTGCACATTATGTACAAGTATCTAAATCACAGCCTCTCTTAATAAACGCGTGTCCTCCGGTGCTCTTATCAGCCGAGCGCGCTGATTTCTTTAAATCATCAAAAAGGAGTTGAAGTCTCTTCCAGCTTCCAGCTTTCAGATAATTCATCGACTTCCATCCACGCTGCTGTGAGAGAGCGAACCTCCGGCGCACTCGACGCGCTTCCGCGCAAACTCTAATCACACGCCGACCATCTGGGGTCCCGCATACGCTAATTCAAGTTCAATTCTCCTCATTTCACTACATTAAAAAACGGTGGGCTAGAAGTTAACGGGTTTTCCTGACATCATCGTCACTTCCGTCTACAGGCGAATCCACATATTTTGATGAGAGCGTCTAATATGTCGTCACCCGAAAGAGTCCCAGCCGTCCGGCGTTAACGAGGGCAAAGGTCTCACCAAGCATCTGAAGTTCTAACGGTCCCGCAGGGATTTCTTATTGGCGTCTCGGGAAACAAACATTATTAGTATATAATAATATACCGTAGAGGTATATAGTATATTATATATGTACGTATTGAAGAGGATGATGTCTCCGGGGTCCCATGGTCTCATAGCCCTTCTATAAACACAAAGTCTCTTGAATTGAATGCATCTCTGTGGTGTGTAACTGATATTTCTCAGTACCTTTTGTTCAGGAGGCTCATCAAATGAATCAGGATATAAAAAGGCCGAGGGTTAAAAAGCAGCGTGTTTGAGGCCGTTTTCCTTTGAGAAGCATGTGACGGCTGTTACGCAACCGTTTCAACTAATTCGCATTTTCCTTTTTATTTGTCTATGTCAGCAACTATTATCAACTTATAGCTGATCAGAAAGTATTACTCCTCCGGCGTGGACTAGTTTCACACCGCGGTTCCTCTTTTGGAAAGAGAAGTTGGGTTTCTCAGCTTCTAAATAGTTTTCTGCGTTCCTGAAAACGTTCCTGAGCAGTGAGAACCGACGCGGTCCGCTCCGACGGCACATCACGACACAGCAAATCTGCTTTATGATTAACAAAATGTTCCTTCCACCCAGACATCACAACCACGGCTCCTCCCACCACGGCCATCGCCTCCACGCTTCCCATGACCACGTTCGGGGCGACCACCACGGCGCCGACCACCGTCCCCGGGACGACGGCCTCGGGCTGCGAGGAGGGACAGAGGGACTGCGGCGGCGAGACCGAGGCCCCCGATGACTACGACGTGGCGACGGGTAAGCTCCGCCCCCTCAAAGGCCGCCGCGCGGGACCCAAAAGTTACTTCCAAAGTGCTCCAGTGGTCAAATAATCTAATTATGTGATTGTAGTTAAAGGCTTTCAATATAATTCCTTATGAAAATGAGTACGACAGGATTTATTACACCAGTGGGGAATATTACACTGCAGTAGAAATGATGAACTATTGTAACATTTGACCTTTTAAGGCGATTATAAAATACAGCATGATGTGTTATGATTGTTGTAATAGAGCATCATGAGGAGCCTGCAGCTGTAATTATGCAACGCTATTAGCAAAGTTACCACATTATACGTGTGTTAAGAAAGAGAAACGTTTGCATTTGAATTTTTTCAGTAAATCCTCTGTTAGTCCGTTTAAGAAGCAACACTCGTCTCTTTCATGTGGTTGACATCTTGACCAAGACGTGTGTTTTATTTTACGTCCAACAATCAAAGTCAAACAGACGCTGTTCAAAACACTTTTGTCTTCTCTTCACTCAAATGTGAGCAAATCTCTGAAAAACATTCGTCTCCAGATTAAAAATACAACAGTATCGACATAAAAGGCAGAATATCGCTTTCTTCTAGTGAGAGTTTGTGTGTCGGCATCTGTGTGGGCGGGACCAAACCCGCCGACCTTTGACCCCGCCCTGACTCTCCCATCTGTTTACAGCAGAAGGCGCCACGGAGGCCGGTCCTTTCATGGACATACCAGGTAGGAACCTGCGCTCTCAATCTGCCTCCTTCTCTCCTTACTCAGCCTTTGTCTTCTTCATCTGTCCCTCTTCTTCTTCATCAGTCCCTCTTCTTCATCTGTCCCTCTTCTTCTTCATCAGTCCCTCTTCTTCTTCATCAGTCCCTCTTCTTCTTCATCGGTCCCTCTTTCTTCTTCATCAGTCCCTCTTTCTTCTTCATCTGTCCCTCTTTCTTCTTCATCAGTCCCTCTTCTTCTTCGTCTGTCCCTCTTCTTCATCTGTCCCTCTTTCTTCTTCATCAGTCCCTCTTTCTTCTTCATCTGTCCCTCTTCTTCTTCTTCATCTGTCCCTCTTTCTTCTTCATCTGTCCCTCTTCTTCTTTATCTGTCCCTCTTTCTTCTTCATCTGTCCCTCTTTCTTCTTCATCTGTCCCTCTTTCTTCTTCATCAGTCCCTCTTCTTCTTCTTCGTCTGTCCCTCTTCTTCTTCTTCTTCATCTGTCCCTCTTCTTCTTCTTCATCTGTCCCTCTTTCTTCTTCATCAGTCCCTCTTTCTTCTTCATCTGTCCCTCTTCTTCTTCATCGGTTGCTCTTTCTTTCATCCCATCTTCTCTTCTCTGAAACGCGCGGAGACTTTAAAGTCCGGGATAAACAATAACAACAACAAAAAACGCATGCAAGGAAAAACGTGTTTGTTGCCGCAGTTTATTGACATCAACGTTCTACTATGACGCAATACGATGAAATGTAACAGTAGAAACGTCACGCGATCTTCTGATGGGTTTTCACGGAAAATGGGTCTCCGCGTTGTGAGCGTCTGTCAGGCTTCATTTTTGAAGGATTCGTTAAAGCCTAATAGAGGTGAGCTGTGCCATAATTCCCCAGATCTATTATAGAATGTGATGAGATGAATCTTTATTGGAGGCAACGTTTGGTTGTTTTGCATCAGCACGAGGAGATAAATGTGTGAAACAAGAATAGAGTGCAATAATTACATCATGACAACAAGACGAAAGCAGGAAAGCTCAAGTTTAAATCTTATTTAAGCGGCTGAAACGTTCTTCATAATGCTTCAGATTGGTTTTTAACCTCATAGTGATCAATGAACAGCAGGTCGGATCCGGTCTCAGGGCGTTCGGGGTTCGACCTGGTGACACGTGCTGCTGCTGCTGCTGCACTGACGAAGGTCGATGTTGACGAGGCCGCATGAACCCCACGTTCAAAGTCTGCAGCGGCTCATTATCCCGCAGGAACTCGGTTCATTTGGAGGGGAAAGCGCCCGCTGACGGAGGAGGAGGAGGAGGAGGAAGAAAGATGGTAGAGAGAGAGGATAGAAAGGGAGACAGAAAGGGCAGGATGAGAGACAGTGGAGGTAAGAGAGAGAGAACAAAGGCCTCCTGGGGCTCAATCAGCGCAGACGAAGCATCGCGTGAAGACAGCTTGGTAGGGGGGGGGGGGGGGGGGGGGGAAACCCCAGGGGTCTTTGCTTCCCTGTCCCCTCCCCTTGGCCCTTTTTGAAAGGCCCCCCAACCCCCCTGGGGGCCCAAAAATTCCTATCCCTCATCCACACGTTTATACCCGGGAATTTAAAGCCCAAAAAGGGGGAACGGGGATGTTTTTCCTTAAAGTGGGGGGAAAACATCGGCTGCTTCTGAAAGGAAAAGGTTCCAATAATATGAGACCGTCTGTGTGGATTAAAACAAATAAACTCTCCCCCAAGGCGATAATTTCTAAACACAAGGGGTTTCCTTTGTAACCTCCGGACAGATCCCTCAGTCCTCCGTCCTGGCTTCTATCAATACCACAACTCTGAGGGCTCTCCAATCACTTCCCCAGAAACCGGGGAGGCAGGGAGAGTGGTGGAGCCCGGTTGAATAGCATCCTTGGGAGGCCCTGG